CTTTTTTTCTTTCTCTCTCCCTTCCTTCCTTCCTTCCTTCCTTCCTTCCTTCCTTCCTTCCTTCCTTCCTTCCTTCCTTCCTTTTTCTTCCTTTCTTCCTTTCTTTCTTTCTTTTTTTCTTTCTCTCTTCCTTCCTTCTTTCCTTTCTTCTTTCTTTCTTTCTTTTTGCTATAGGGGGGTGTGCTCACTGGGGAGAGGGAAAAGCATCATGAAATCACTCCCCAGGGTTATGGCCACACCACAATCCTTTCTCTTCCAGTCTCCTCTTGGGATTTTGGATCTGCATGCACATGTAACCAGTGTGTTTTTAAGTTGCCAGGTCTGGGACTCACACTACAGTCAACCATGTGGGATCCACTGCCTTAACTACCGCCCCACTGGATGGCCCAAGAGATTTTGTCTGGGGGGAGTAGGGAGAAGATTTTTGCTGTAGGGTGCGTGTGCTCTCAAGAGAGACAGAGAGAGAGAAAGTGAGAAATCACTCCCCAGGGGGGATGGCCACACCGCAATCCCTTCTCAATTCTCTTGGGATCTTGGGCAGGCACACACATGCACACACACCCGGCCTGAGTTTAAGCCTGGGTAGTCTGGGGCTTGAACCATGGTCAACTACATGTGAATCCAATGACATAACCATTATGCCATCTACTGGTCCCATGCCAGCTGTGTTTTGAGCCACTATGTCCAAGACTCTAACCATGGTTGACCATGTGGGAGTCCAGCATCTTAATCCTTACATCACCTGTTTGCCCTCAAGGAATTAAAAAAAAATTTTTTTTTTTCTTTTTAAGGTTTTCATCATTGCAAGCATTTGCTTGCTGGAAAGATACAGAGAGAGGGAAAGTGAGAAATTACCCCCCAATGGGGAATGACCACTCTGTAATCCTTTCTCCTCCATTCGCCTCTTGGAAGTTTGGGCATGTAAACACACGTCCTGCCATGATTTTCAAGCCACCAGGTCCAGGACTCAAACAGTGCAGGCAATCATGTGGAATCTAGCCGCCTTAATCACCATGCCACTGGCTGGCCCAAGAGGTACTGGTTTTTATACTTGGTAGGGAAAAAATATGGAAGTGGAAAGATGTCAGCTGGGGTCCCCTCAGTCCCTTTCCAGGATCTAGGAAATTCAAAGCCCTTGTTTTTATTTGTGAATTGTCCAAGGAGATTTCCTTTCCTTGGCATTCTGGACTTCTGAAATCTTGCTTCCAAGAGTAAGCTGAATAGAATTTACTAGCGATGGAAGGAGGTGTTTACATGTCTGTAAAAGCCAAGCAGGTGGCATCACTAGCACTGTGCAGCCCCTCCCTTCTACCTAATCCCCTAATCCCAGGTTTTCTCCTCTTAACTCTTTCTTCCCAACTTCTCCTTCTCCTCCTCCTTCCTTCCCCTTGTGTCAGGAGTAGAAATAACAAACTCTTTCATCTCAAACCAAGCAGGTTTTCCCCTCTTTTGAAGTCCTGGTGGCTGCCAACATCCATGGCCTCAAGGTCTTATTCCTCCCTACAACTTTGTCAGTCTTTCACCCAAGGAGACAGCTCCCTCCTTCTCTAAGAGGAAGATTTAAAAAAAAAAAAACTGTAAGATTAAAAAAAAAGTGTGTGTGTATATTTACATAAGATTAAAAATCTTTGATGTTTAGTGAAGATGGTACCTACCTGTGCTGTTTATATTTTTAAATTGCTTTGTTTGTATGGGATTGTATGATCATAACTAACAGCAATGGGGATTTCTCCATATTTATATAATTTTCATAGGAAGTCTTCAAAATTGTAAAATATTAGCAATCCAATCTAAGCCCAATTGCCATTTTATTTATTTGATTTTTGCTATAGGGCACATGTGCTTGCCAGAGAAAGACAGAGAGAGAGAGAGGAAAAGTGAGAAATCAGTCCCCAGTGGGATAGCCTTATCACAATCCCTCCTCCATTCGCCTCTTGAGATTTTAGACACATATGCATACACAGCCAGCATGTTTTTTGTTTTTTGTTAGAGAGTATTTTGCTATAGAGTGCGTACACTCACTGAAGAGACAGAGACAGCGAGAAAGAAAGCAAGAAATCATCTGCTGGGAGGATGGCCATGCCATAATCCTTTCTCGTCCATTCTCCTCTTGGGATTTTAGACACGCACGCACACACACTCAGCGAGAGTTTTAAGCTGCTGGGTTGGGGACTCAAACCATGGTCGACTGAGAGTCCCACGACTTAACCATTACACCATCTGCTGGTACCCCCTCTCCAGCATGTTTTACAAGCCACAGGGTCCAGGACTCAAACTGTGGAGTCAGTCATGTGGGACTAGCACCTTAACCACCACACCACATGCCCAATTGCCATTTTTTTTTTTTTAGAAAGTTTTTTTTGCTATAGGGCACATACATTCGCCAGAGAAACAGAGAGGCAGCAAAAATCATCCCGCAGCTGGGATGGCCACGCATGTATATGTGCCCGGTGTGAGTTTGAAGCTGCCTGGTCCAGAACTTGAACCATGGTTGATTATGTGAGATTCCAGCGATGTAACCACTCCACCATCTGCTGGTCCTACCATTTTTTAAAAAGAAGTTTTTGCCTTAGGGCATGTGTGCTCACCAGAGAGAGAGAGAAAGACAGAGACAGAGGCAGTGAGAAGAACACTGAGAAATCAACCCCCAGGAGGGATGGCTAGGTGGTAATCCCATCTCCTTCATTCTCCTCCCTGGATCTTGGGCACACACCCATATGTACCCAGTGTGTTTTTCAAGCTGCCAGGTTTAGGACCTGAACCGTGTAGTTGCCCATGTGGGATCCAGTGTCTTAGCTACCAACCACTTACTGGCCCCTAAATTAGTATATTTACAATCACAGTGCAAGTAGATAGATACAATCTCATCGTTTGTTTACTAGGAGCTAACTATTCCCTATCGTTACTTAATTTACCCTGTTTTCCCTTGCAGCCTTAATTAGCCCAACTTTTTAAACTTTTTAATTGATAATGAATACCTTAACTTAAGCAAGCCCGTGCCAGTGTTTGACAGATGGTTAATGTCAAAAGCCTGTGGGAATGGCTTCTGGTTAGCCTTTGGTTTCTGGGTTTTTAAGCAGGAGAAATGTCTGAGTGCGGATCAGGAAGCGTACATCACCACCAACTTTTATTGTCCTTCGAATTCTCTGTTCTCCCCAGACGTCTCTTCTACTCCTGGCCTAGCAGGGCCAGAAACCAGGTGGAAGCATGCCATAATGGCGAGTGATAAGCCTCATAAAGTGGTTTTTTTTTTCTTTCTTCAATTAATGGTTTCACTGACAACTTTACTGCCTTGCTCTAAGCTTCTCCCACTCCCTCGGGCATCTGTCCACATGTCTGAGATGAGCCTCCCAGTCCCATAGAACTGGCCCTCTGAACAGACTGCACTATTTTAAGAAACTCATCTCTCTTTTGGGGGGGAACATAACACTTGAAAGTACATTTAAACAGAAAGTAATAGGGCTTTAAAGCTGAGCTATAAAAGTGATTTATTCATGAGTTCATGTCCCAACTGACATCCATTTTATATTAATTTTCCTTGCGTGTGAATACTCAGCTTTTTCCCCACAATCTTTGCTGCTATATGCAAAGTTTTTATTCCACTCTCATTTCCTTCTACATTTCTCCAAAGACGCTCCTAACAGGCCGAAAGAGATCCACCAGGGTTCACAAGCCCACTTTGGGAAACTCTGCTATGAAATGATAATGCTCCCTTCTTACGACTGCTGACTCTATTAGGTAGTCAGTTAGCTGTATTACGGAAACAAAAGTTCTTCATTCATTTTTCCAGAGTTACTTTAAATGTGCTTTTATTCACATGTTCTACTGTCAGCAGGAGAGCTATGCAAAGCACACCTTTCTCTTAGGCCAGTGGAACTCTCACCCTAGAATGAAACAATTTCTTAGCGTCCTTTCTCTCTGCCCCAAAGGAACCCAGAGCAAAAGAGTCAATGATAATAATGTTCCCTTTACATTGTATAACTTTCATTCTTTCCTTTTTTAAAAAAATAGTTATTTTAAAAATTTTATTCATTCATTTAATTTGACCAGAGAGAAACAGAGAATGAGAGGGAAAGTGAGAAAGCAAGCCATCAGGTCCAGTACTCAAACCGTGGTCAGCCATGTGGGAGTATCCAGTGCCTTAACCATCATGCCACCTGCTGGCCCCACATGGTATAACTTTCAAAGCAGTTTCAAACACAGCAGTTTCTCCAGTGTCTGCTTCCTCAAACGGATGAGAAAACAGAGACTCAGAAAAATTAAAGAGTCCATCAGTGTCAGAGACCAGGATTTAAATCACCACTTGATGATGCTGATTTAAAACAACAACAACAAAAAAAGCTTGAGACCAGCAGGTAGTATCGCGGTCAGGGTGCTGGATTCTACGTGGCCAACTGAGATTTGAGCCCCAGAGTTTGAGGTTTGAAAATCATGCTGGGTACATGTGCATGCGTGCCCAAAATCCGGAAATGAGAGAGAAATGGAGGAGAAGGAATTGTAGTGTAGCCATGCCCTCTCAGGGGTGATTTCTCACTTTTCCTCACTGTCTTTGTCTCTCTCCAGTGAGTACATGTACCTTATGGAGGTGGTGGGGGGGAACACTAAGAGAAAGAAAGAAACAAACAAACATTCGAGCCAGCAGGTGATATGGTGTTTAAGGCACTAACCTCCCACATGATCAATTGCGGTTCAAATCCTGGACCTAGCGGCTTGAAACTTGTGCCAGGTGCAAGTGCATGCATGTCCCCAACTCTAAGAGGAGAATGGAGAAGGGATTGTGGTATGGCCATC